AGGGAAGCTCCAGTAAAGGATAGGCAGCATCTACCTTTACAGCTGCTGCTGTTAGTTGGAGAAGCAAGGGGGAAAAGAGCACACCCCCTGTCTTATCGCCCTTGATTGTGAGAGGAAAAGATAAGGCGGGTGGGAGGAAGCACGATAAGCCGGCTCATCCTGCTGGGTACGTGGCGAAAGGTGCAGGGATATCCTGTTAGATTTGGGTGAAAAGAAGCAGGGTAGGGTTGCGCTCACTTAGAGTTGCCTTAGCGTGGCCATACTGCACATTCACGAATATGCTTTACCACAAACAACCCTTCCCCCACCTCCTCCCCCGCTTCCCCCCTTTTTCCGTCTTGTAAAACAAAAGTATTGAGAATGTTATCTATCAATTATTTTGTTCAAACGGGTTCTGCTCTGTAAAACTTTTAGCTTGTAATTTAAAATATTCAATCTCATTACTCAAAACAATCGTCCAATAGGAGCCAATAAATTGGAATAATGTTTGTGTAAACCTTTCTGATCTAATTAATCGATAAAGGCAAAAGTTGTTTTATTTCGTGATTTATAAACACAAAAGGCTAGAATTCAAAAGGAAAGAGACAAATGTAAATATCCCTTGCATGAACAAGGGGAAAGATCACTCTTAATATGAAGCCATTCCGATTTCACGAGACTCAATCCTTATAAAACCCCATACTATTCTGAGTAAACGAAGAAAAATACCGTTTTTGTTCTCTAAAACAACGAGAGTTTTGTGCTCCTGAGCACATTCCCGAGACTGGTACTCACATTTCAGAGAAACAACCAGAAAACAAGAGAAATACCACAAACAACCGACAGACCAAAAATAATTTAAAAAAAGAAACACTCGCTTTGCCAAATCTCCCTCCCCCAATCCCATTCTTTCTACGTAGGCGGCTTTTTTATCTTAAAACTTTTGAAACTCGCTGGTCCTAGAAACTTCGCTCGTCCAGGTAAAGAAAACATGAGTTGAAGAGAAGAGGGGGTGAGTCATCAGACTGCTATGCTCCGGTGCCAAAATAATTTGAGAAAAGTTGGCCTCCGACGCTCACTGCAGCTTTCATTCGCGTGCGCTCTCTGCTCTGGAAACGTCGGTGCGTCCGACTGCCTGGGACTTTGATGATAGCCTCTGACTCGTTGCACCCGTGTTTTATTTCTACGATTCGCTCAGAGGAAATAAATCCCGAAACTTTCGAGACCAGCCTCAAGCACGGAATCTTATTTCACCTTGGAGTTTAAACGAAAGCAGAAATTTTCGGAGCGGTTACGAATCATTTTTCGAAAGAAGTTTTACACTTTGGATTTATAAATCAGCAAAAGACTGGACGATATATTCTCAAATTCAAGTTGCTCATCAAGGAGAGAGACATTAATATTCACATTCTGCCTATGTGACTAAACAATTATCAATGCTGTACATATTTTTAATTTCTTTCATATATAAAGGACCACGTCACGCCAGTGCTTAGTTTTATTTGCTAGCCAGTGTTATACAAGACTTGCCGACCACTGTTCATTAGTGCTCACGAACAATATTATTGTTATCGGTGCTTTTTTTTAACGCGCTGTATTCCTTAAACCGTCATAAACATTCCTAATACCGTGCTGCAATATCGGCTGTTTACGGCTTGAAGCTCATCACATTCCTTTTGGATTAATTAATTTTGCTTCGGAATCTCATTCATCTCTTCATCGTAGAAGGCGCAGAAAATCGGATCTATAGCCGATTTCCGAAATCGCTCATCGCTTACTCCAAGATTGCTCTATTTGCAGGCAAGCCAGCCGCTGCTTTCACTTAACAAGGCAGACTATTCTGTCTTGTGTGTGGTTCATATTGTCTTTACATAGTTTTGATTCACTTGGCTTCATCTAGTAACCATGACAACCCATGCATTGCAGGCCCGCATTGAGGAACTGGAAGAGGAGCTTGAAGCCGAACGCCAGTCCAGAGCTAAGGTGAGTCACTCTCTTCATAAGTTAACCCCCCCCCCACCCCTTCCACCCCTTCCACCCTTAATCCCTCTACCTTCCAGCGCCCCTGTCTCTGCTCCACCTGAGCTTATCGCGTTTTTTTTTCTCAACAGCTTTGCTTTTTCCACCGTAACCATTGCCGCTCTCCTGTCTACCCCTTCTTTCTGCTGAGTCTTCTTTATTTGATTTCCCTTTTGCCCTTGTTCGCTTAAAAAATAGTTTACCTTCCTAACTATACGCCTGTCTATAGATCTACTTGCCAAAATTATTTTTCTCCCTGTCTATCATCACCACCCTCTCTCTTTCTTTCTCTCTCTCTCTCAGTCTCTCTCTCTCTCTCTCTCTCTCTCTCTCTCTCTCTCTCTCTCTCTCTCTCTCTCTCTCTCCCTCTCTCTTCCCATCTTTCCCCCTCATCTATCTCCTTCCTTCTATCCCTTCCTCTCTCCCTCTCTCTCTTTCGTCCTTTCTCCTCTCCCTCTCCCTCTCCCCCCCCCTCTCTCTCTCTCTCACACTCTCTCCCTCTCCCTCTCTCTCTATCTTTCTCTCTCTCTCTCTCTCTCTCTCTCTCTGTCTCTCTCCTTCTTTCTCTATATTTCTTTCCCAAACTCTGTATAGATCGTTTCTCTCGCCCACCCCCACCCCCAAATCTTAAAAATAGCCAAATTCCCTCTGGTTAAACCATTACAAATTCAGAAAAGACGCATACACGAATAGAGGAATAAATAAAAATAAGAATGAAAGGGAAGCAAATCAGTTATTGGATCAAACTTCTAATCACACAATGTTCTAACATCTGCTTTTCAATGTCGAATCTATAGGCCAATAATTTAATAATGCTGCCCTTTATAGTACTTTACACTTTCTTCATATTGACTCCGATGCACAAAATGTATTTTATCAAATACTCTTATCGTACATTAAAGTACTAAATATCTCCTCCCTCCCCCTCAAATGTTGAGCAATAAATGACCGGGATTGTGTCGATGTGCTTCTCTTTACTCAAAACTCAAATGTTGACTCCTAGGTCGAGAAGCAGAGGACCGAGCTGTCCCGCGAGTTGGAAGATCTCGGCGAGCGCCTGGATGAGGCTGGTGGCGCCACCGCCGCTCAGGTCGAGCTGAACAAGAAGCGTGAGCAGGAGCTCCTGAAGCTGCGCCGTGACCTCGAGGAGTCTGCCCTGCAGCACGAGGCCCAGATCTCCTCCCTGCGCAAGAAGCACCAGGATGCCGCCAACGAGATGGCCGACCAGGTCGACCAGCTGCAGAAGGTCAAGAGCAGGTAGGTCACGGGGTCAGGTCTGGAGCGGTGGTCATTGTTCTGTGGGAAGCTGGTGTCATGAGGCCTGGATGAGCTCAGCCAAGGAAATGAACATTGGGGTTTAGGAGACTTTTTTGAAAGTTTAGTCTTAGTTTGGAACATTACCCAGTGGAAGGTAAAGTTTCGGGATTATTTTTTTTAACCCCAAAGGGAATCAGATATTTGTATTTGGCCATTGTTCTGTGGATATACAAGACACATGAGGCTTGGGATTTTATCACTGTTTGGTACTTGCAGAGTTTTTGGGTAAGAAAAAGGGGCGGGGGGTGTTAAAGCTGTGGAAGTACTCAAATTTTGTTCATATTTAGAACCTATCTTACTTTTGAATTTGATTTGTTTATTATTATTAAACCTTAGTTAGACCCACTGTTCTGATACACCATAGAACACTCGCCTTACAAAGTTTACACACTGTCCCTCAGACTGGACAAGGAGAAGAACCAGCTCAAGGGAGAGGTCGATGACCTCCAGGCCCAGCTTGAGCACAGCTCCAAGAACAAGGTAGCTTGGCATGCTGTGAAAGCCATGATATCTTTAGCATGCCCTTGTAGGTCCCGAATCCTGTGAAGGACATTGTTACATTCCAATCTTGCATGTCTCTCAACAATGTCTAAGACTGCTCACTATCATGTTTCGATATGAGAATAATTGGAAATCATATCAAAGCAAAGTTTGAGGAATGCATGCGGAACACTCAATAAATACTCTAATACACATAAAGACGAATATTCCGAACTTAAAGACCCATTCCCTCTTGCTTGTACTGACTTGGCTCCTTAAATCTTCTCCTCGGCATGAAGGAACAGGAGAACACCTCTCTTATCTTGTTAACGAGATTCTAAGAATGTATTTTTTCTGGCTAATCCAAATTGATATTCACTGTCTTAATGTATTTAATGCATGCTATTTTAACGTCCAGACTACGTTACTTCTTTTCTTCCAGTTCAACAACTTCGTGTGTGCCCAGGCCCTGTTGAATTCTAACATTCTGTTTAGTCTAATCCTTAAGCAAAACTCATGACAACGGAAACTTTATGTAAATATTATTTTTTGTCTTTCAAGAGTACAAACATAACATGCTTGCAGATTGACAACTTACGTGACAACCTTTCTATCCAAAGCGTCCCGTCAGATTTACACCGTCCTTTTGTTATTATGACTATTACTAAAGCATGGTTTGATGCAGCTGCATGCCACACGATGTCTTCAGGTGTCTACCTGTGCTTCTATCGTCCCAGAATAGACATGGAGAGGCACGACCTGGAATTGGAGGTGGAAGACCTTCTCGAAGAGTTATCGCATGCATGCAAAAATAGGGTACTTTGTTCAATTTTTACCTATGTTTCTATTCTTGGGTGATGTTGATTTACTTTCTCAAACACTTTAAACAGGGTTTTGTAAGAACAGTAAAAAAAAAAATGCAAACTATCAAGTATTATGTAGGGATCGTTGCTTCCAATTGGTTTTACACATTTGACGATCTAAGGATTTTAAAAAGGTGTTTAAATGGATAATAGATAACTTGAATGTTTAGAAAATATTTGTACCTTTGCTCACTGGAAATAATATACCACATTTATGGAGCACTCAAACCTGACTATAAAAGAAACGCAGGTTCTGGGCGATGTAAAGTAAACAGCACGTTGTTCTGACTAAAAGTCTAGATAAATATCTCTTTGGTAAATATATATATATATATGTATGTATGTATGTATTTGGCACCTATACTTCCCTCCTCTAAAGCCTCCGTACGTCGCGTTCTCTTCCAGGGAATGTCCGAGAAGATGTCCAAGCAGGTGGAGGCCCAGATCTCCGAGCTCAACGCCAAGCTGGACGCCGCTGCCCGCGAGATCCAGGATCTGCAGGGCCAGAAGAACCGCGGCAGCCAGGAGAGCGCCGACCTGACCCGCCAGTTGGAGGAGGCCGAGCACCGTGTTGGACAGCTCACCAAGGAGAAGACTTCCCTCGCCAGCCAGCTGGAGGAGGCTAAGAGGTCTCTGGAGGATGAGACCCGCGTAAGTGACTCCACAATTTTCATTTTCGATGAATTTAATTGTTGTGGGTTTTTTAAGTTTTAGAATCAGTAAGAGTTCTAACAGCTGTGATGATACTTTTACTTTTTATTACTTTTACCCTTTTATCCCCTGTTGCCGTTAATTTTCGTGGAGAGAAGCAGTTTTCTTTGGTAGGCCAGCTCCCCTGCAGTTTCAAGTATGATGTTTTGTTTCAGTTTTTTTGTTTGTTTTTATTCAGGGTTTTTTTTTGGGTGAAAATTGTACCAGGTACATACATGTATATTTCCTTACGGACTCATGACAATGATTTATTTCCATGATCTACAGGCTCGCCAGAAGCTTGCCTCTGAGGTGCGCAACCTGACTGCCGATCTGGATGCTCTCCGCGAGCAGCTGGAGGAAGAGCAGGAGGGACGCTCCGACCTGCAGAGGCAGCTCAGCAAGGCCAACAGCGAGGTGCAGCAGTGGCGCTCCAAGTTCGAGTCCGAGGGAACCGCCCGGGCTGAGGAGCTTGAGGAGTCCAGGTAAGCGTGTGGGAAACTTGTTCAAAAACGTTTTGAAGGTTTTTGGTTACTTCTTTACGGTTCATTAGTTATTGGTGCATAAGTAGTGCCCTCTAATATCCATCTATTTATCGATCTCCTTTTGTCTCTTCATTAACCCCCTCGTTCTGTCTGTCGGTCTGTCTGTCTATCTGTCTGTCTGTCTGTCTGTCTGTCTGTCTGTCTGTCTGTCTGTCTGTCTGTCTCTCACTCTCCAGGAGAAAATCAGGAAAGAAAGTACATTAACCTCGATAATACGAGTACTTAAGAGTCTTGCAAACATCTCTAACGCACTTCAATTTAGTCATCCCCTTGTCACAGATGACTGTCTATTATTCCCCTGAACTTCCACAAAAGCCCCTAGTTTCTCTCATTTCTTTTCCACCCAAGTCTAACCCACTGTGTCCTCCCTTCCCTCCCCCAGACGCAAGCTGCAGGCCAAACTCAACGACGCCGAGCAGGCCGCCGAGGCTTCCAACCTGAAGGTCCAGGCTCTGGAGAAGGCCAAGAGCAGACTGCAAGGCGAGCTCGAGGACCTCATGATTGACGTCGAGCGAGTACGTACTATTACGTTATATCTTTATCGTTAACACTTTTGACTCATGACTTTTTACCATACCAAGACGATTTACTAGTCGGATTTAGTGTATTTGTAAATATAATCTTGGTTGTTTTGCTTCTTGTGTACCTATACCGAATTGAATGGGACAAGAATCCTGCAAATTTATACGTTCTCTAAATGACTTTACGTGACAGTTGGTAATATTTATTGCATGGACTGTGGACTGGATTCCATGAGCTTAAAACTGCCTAATGAGAAATGCTTTAATTAATAAGTCTAACGTTTGTTTGTTTTTTCACTAGCCGAATTTTTACACTTAAAGTTAGTTTTTTAAAAACATTTTCCTCTTTCCCCCATAGTCCAACGCCAACGCGAACAACCTTGAGAAGAAACAGCGCGCTTTCGACAAGACGATCGCCGAATGGCAAGCCAAGTGCAACGACCTCCAGAGCGAGCTGGAGAACGCCCAGAAGGAGGCCAGAGGTTACTCTGCCGAGCTCTTCAGGGTCAAGGCCCAGGTCGAGGAAGCCAACGACAGTGTTGAGGCTCTTCGCCGTGAGAACAAGAACTTGGCTGGTGAGTACTTGTTGTTCATGTTAGCGTGTGTCTGTCAAGCATTTGTGGAGTGAAGCTTGTTCGTAAATTCTAGACTTTTGTGAACTCGCTTTTGTATCTTCATGATTTTATTTAACTTATACAATTCGAAGTGCCTCTCTTATTTTAATCGTGAAGGATTCTGAGTTTTCACCACTAAAGGTATTTGTTCCTTCCACCGCAGGATGAAATATAAAGCTTAGTTCAACAAACGAATCCCTAGCTTCGAACACTAAACATGTTTCCTCCAAACATAACATTTATGATATTCCTAACCTCACCGACCAACTTGGCGAGGGCGGCCGCAGCACCCACGAGCTGGAGAAGGCCCGCAAGCGCCTGGAGATGGAGAAGGAGGAGCTGCAGGCTGCTCTGGAGGAGGCTGAGTCTGCCCTTGAGCAGGAAGAGGCCAAGGTCATGCGCGCCCAGCTGGAGATCTCCTCTGTGCGCTCCGACATTGACCGCCGTATCCAGGATAAGGAAGAGGAGTTCGAGAACACCCGGTAAGTCTTTTTTAAAACTTTGTCTGAATACAATTATTACGGTGTTCTATAAACAATAAAAGCACTAACATGACAGAACATAACCTCAAGTGGTTAGTGACCTAAACCCCCCCCCAAAACAAACTACAAGTGGTTAGACCAAGGAAGAAGAAGATATACAACAGTGACTAATCCCAAATTGATTCCTGAGGTGGGAGCTTAGAGTTATTAACTTACTAAACTACAAAACTCCTCAACGTTCCCATGTATTATTGGAACCCAATAACTTACCCAGTTTATGCCATTCCTTCCTCAGCCGCAACCACCAGCGCGCCATGGACTCCATGCAGGCTAGCCTTGAGGCCGAGACCAAGGGCAAGGGCGAGGCTCTGCGCATCAAGAAGAAGCTTGAGCAGGACATCAACGAGCTCGAAGTGGCTCTTGATGCCGCCAACAGGGGCAAGGCTGAGTTCGAGAAGAACGTCAAGAAATACCAGCAGACGATCAGGGTAAGTCATGGATGGACATTACTGCCTAAGTGCAGATATCAAAGGAAAAAATAGTAGCGCACTAAAAACAACAGAAAGGTAAAGGTAATAATACAATAAAAGATATCAGTAATATAAAATCATGAAATTGAAACGGTTGCCATATTAGATTACAACGTTGCAAAGATTACAACAAAACAAAGATTGCAGAACATGACATTTTAGCAGATTACAATATTTGAATACAAAACAAGAAGGGGCAATCCCAGTTCATAACATTCAAATTGGTATCTCTCGGTCTCTGTTGGTCTCTCTTGGTCTCTACGGATCTCTCTCTCTCTCTCTCTCTCTCCCCAAAAAGTGGCCAAAAAAATGAAGACTCTTTTTCTGAAACAAACATTATAACGTTGTGATCTATGCACCAACAGGAAATGCAGTCTCAGATCGAGGATGAGGCTAGACAGAGGGAAGAGGCCCGCGAGTCCTACAACATGGCCGAGCGCCGCTGCACTGTCCTCACCGGAGAGATTGAAGAGCTCAGAAGTGCCCTTGAGCAGGTGAGTTTACGAAACTGCAGTACCTTACTTTTCAAAATTCCTTTACTGAGGGTTGCCTATACTGGCAGTATGATGTTGGATTTGCAGGGAAAATATTAATGGTTCGATTCCCTGCTTTGCTGGATAGATGACTGCATTATACTTTCTTTATTGTTTATGCCAAAGTAGCAAATGCTATTGCATCCTCATAAAAGTTCCGCTACTATTTCTGTGGTGAAATGGGAATCTATTCTGTGCTACTTTTGCGGTTGAGCGAAGGTGGGGGAGTTTATTTTTGTTAGCTTTTTTTCCTCATTCCAACTAGGATTCTCATTCCTGCAGAAGATAAAATATTCTTTATATTTTTTTCTACACTACCGTTTAGTAAAAGACGTTATATTTTTTTCTTGAAAAGCAACATTTCCCATTTTTAAAACTGATTCTATAATTAATGCCATAATTCTTTGTGCGTCTTCTCCAGGCCGAGCGTGCCCGCAAGGGAGCTGAGAATGAGCTCAACGACGCCAATGATCGCGTGAACGAACTGTCCGCCCAGAACAGTTCCATCCAGGGACAGAAGAGGAAGCTGGAGGGAGATGTCCAGGCCATGCAGGTGAGTTGAGAAGACTGTGGGAATTTAGATGGACTCTTGTTAGATTTTTCCTGGGAGGTTTTTCTTTTGTTTGGGATTTTAACCAGCGTCTGGAAAGGAGGTAGCAACTAAAGGAAATATTTGTAGAAGAAAGTGGCGATGTATATATATTATTACGGAATTTTTACAGTATTGACTAAAAATACCCACACGTACGCACGCACGCGCGCGCCCGCGCACACACACACACACACACACACACACACACACACACACACACACACACACACACACATACACACACGCACGCATCCAAAAAAGCATATGAATATAGTTCCCTAACCAGCCCGTGTTGTCCACCCTCAGACCGATCTGGATGAGATGAGCAACGAACTCCGTGCCTCCGAGGAGCGCTCCAAGAAGGCCATGGCTGACGCCGCTCGCCTGGCTGATGAACTCCGCCAGGAGCAGGAACACAGGTAAACATACACAACGGCTTATTGTGCTGGACATTGGTCAATCAGTCTCTTTTTTTAGCTCTCTTTCTCTCTCTCACTCTCACTCCCTCCCCCTCTCCTCTCCCTCTCTTTCTCTCTCTCTCTCTCTCTCTCTCTCTCTCTCTCTCTCTCTCTCTCTCTCCCTCTCTTTCTCTGTCCCTTTCTCCCTGTATCTCTCCCTCTCTCTTTCCCAGTCTCTCTCTCTTTCTCTCTGCCTGTCTGGCTGTCTGGCTGTCTGGCTGTCTGTCTGTCTCTCTCACCCTCTCTCTCTCTACCCCTCTCTACCTTTTACTAACTCTTTCGCTCTTTCTCTCTCCGTCTTTTTCTCTCTCGCTTATGTTATAAAGATCCCTTTGCCAGATTTGACCTTTTCCTAGTCTCTCTGTTGTTTCTTCCAAGCTGGTTTGCTTGCAGGAAAGCCTTTCTTTCTTTTCCCTCCTGTGTAATCTCTCTAAATAAACCACACACAATGAAGTAACTACATTATGTGACCTGTACGTGTTCATTTTTTCTCCCACAGCCTCCAGGTCGAGAAGCTGAGGAAGGGCATGGAAGGCCAGATGAAGGATCTCCAGGTCCGCCTGGATGAGGCCGAGGCTCAGGCCCTCAAGGGTGGAAAGAAGATGATCCAGAAACTCGAGACAAGAGTGAGTATTGTACCCTAATCTACAACTGTTTTGTGGTATTTACAATCAATGATGTCAACATCTATTAATGGGGTGAATGCATTGTCCTAATTAATTCACATAAATTCAGTAGAAGTTCAGATCTCATTATGCAACGACGGGAATGCTTATCTCCAAATTAAAATTACATTTTGTTCTACACACATTCACTATTTATACTATGTAACACGTAAAAAAAAACTTCCTATACCTGAGAGAATTGTAGTTTATTCATCAGGCATTCACAATGAATTACACAAATATAACTTAAATATGCATCATATAACACACCCTCACCTTAAACAAAATGAACGCATCTCCTTGCAGGTGAAAGAACGGTATGTCGTTCTAAACACACAAACACTCTCATCAAACTTAAGTATATATCAAACTACACATGCTCAACTTGAACATACCTCCTCGCACAGGTGAGAGAACTGGAGACTGAACTGGATAACGAACAGCGCCGCCACGCTGAGACCCAGAAGAACATGCGCAAGGCCGACCGCCGTCTCAAGGAGCTGGCCTTCCAAGCGGACGAGGACCGCAAAAACCAGGAACGCCTTCAGGACCTGGTCGACAAACTGCAGAACAAGATCAAGACCTACAAGAGACAAGTCGAGGAGGCTGTAAGTCATGCAGATTTCCTTCAGTTGAAATCTTTTGTCCTCTACACTACTAGAATCAATCACATTTCGATTTCAGATTAGCTTAGTTTTTGTTTCATAGATACGACTTTAGTGTTCCTGTAAATTGAATTGATAATTCTTTTAAACAGTGTAAACATTTCTTAAAAACCAGATTCAAGGAATATTCATCTCATCTCTCTCTTTCTCTTTGTCTCTCCCTCTTTCACTCTCTCACTCTCTCTCTCATTTTCATTCTCATACGCTCTCTATCATCATACCCCCTCTTTCACCCTCCCCCCTCTCATTATTTCTCTCTTTCACTCACTCTCTACCTCTCTCTCACTCTCCGCCCCCCTCCCCGATCTCTCTCTCTTTCTCTCTCTCTCTCTCTCTCTCTCTCTCTCTC